CTTTATTTATGCTGGTTGAACTATCAAGGCATAAATACGGAACACGGAAAAACGGAAACTTTAATTAATTTTCATGATCAAACCACTTTTCATAAGCTAATAATATTTCAAACTGTTTGGATTGACTATCAACTCTATTCCCATGCGAAGTTTCATCAAAATCCCAGAAGAGTAAACCAGAAGTTCTCCTTGTTAGTAATTCAACGCCAAATTAATTAAATATCGCCACAATTTTAAAATCTGAATTCTTATTGATTAAGTCGATTATTTACACACATTGGAAAGTTTTTCCGAATTTCTTCCAGGTAAATGTCACTTACACCTAAAGATGGGCTTATCATATCCGAACTCTGCTTTAGAGAGGAGTTATATCCACTTAACAACTCCACAACTCCACAACTTCGACATATTTGAAACATAATACTTAACACAAATGTGGTCTCTAGTGTGATTTATTAGGACTTTGGAATTAGTTTACAAATACTTCAAACATTTTTGCTTATTTTATTATAATAATTACTATTTTATGCATTTCAATATGCGTACAAATTTCAAATTGACAAAATATAGAATACAAAATAGCATTATTTTGAGACATTATATATCTGGAAAGTTCTAAAACTGGCTGTGAGACGAGAAAAAGACCACTTCTTTCGACTCAAATCTTTGCATTAGTAAAAAATCTCAAGCAAATATCTGCACATGTTAACAGATTTAGTACCAGTTTAGAGAAGTCTGATATGACAAATCCTGTGAGACAACTCCGCTCGGATTCACTACGAGTTAGGAGTTGTTACCCATCTCTACACACCTATTTTGATTAAACTCTTATAATTAAAGCGAACCAAGTAATGAATGCTGTAATATTTCGTACATCATTTTAGTAAATTAGTTTTAAATCATATTTTGCCTGTTATCAATAATACTTTCCAATTTAATATTTAATTTTTAACTTCCAGTAGGGTAGGATAAGGTCTAGAATGAAAATGTTTGCATATCTTTACGTTTCAAAGGCTTCTGAGCATTTTGGCATATATTATAAACAATGGATGTGTGTGTATGGATGCAATTTTTCATCGACGTTTACGGGAGCACCGCTCAACCGATTTGAATGATTCAAAATGCATTCGATTCCTATTTATGAAGATTAGTGCTGATTAGTTTTTGGAAATGGTCGGTTCAGTCGTTTTTTCAGTCGATGCTGAAATTGGAAATCAAGATCTTACAATTCAAGAACATATATCAATGTTTGCCTGTAATTATAAGAATAGAATTGACGCACATCCAAACCAACTAGCATGCAACTTATACCAGGAAGGCCAGCCGACCAGGCTCAAAAGGAAAATACCTCGAGATTTATTATAGTTTATTTTTATATTTATATTTTTTTTTTCTCTATATTTGTCTTTAGTTTTTTCTTTTTTATATATTAACTATAGTAGATACACCACTGGGCGTATGTACTAATTTGTAAACAACCAATTGTAAACACTTGTCAGCATTCTCTGCTAAATATAATTATTTTTATAGATTGCAGAATAAAAATAAAATAAAAAAAAAAAAAAAGATCTTAAAAGAACTGAGACTCCAATTTGAATGATTCAAAAAACATTAAATTCGTAGTGATGAGAATATATGGTTATTAGGTTTTGGAAAAGACAGGCCCAGCCGTTTCAGAGATAAGCAGCTAAAAGTGTAAGAAATGGCTGTTTTTTGGGAGAACAAAGCATATGATTCGAATGATTTTAAAATTATTTTTGCTTGTGAAGAAACGATTAGTTTTTGGTGAAGACTTTTCTTATTTCAAAATTTAAAAAAAATGTATTTTTTTAAATATCAAAAATGATTTGAATTTTAATATTTATTATATTGCTCACTTAATATACTTGAAATATATAATTTTAACTTTGCAATTCAGTTTATATAATTCTTATAATTATGAGATAAGTACCTCCATTCTAACTCCGCTTTTGTTTTTTTTTTCATATAAATATATAGAACTATCGTCGTCCAATTTATAAGCTCCTATATTTTGCTTATAAAATATGAATAATGAATGTTACAGTATTTATAATAATTTATTTGCAAGCACGGTACGGAAAGTTCCAGCAATTTTCCTTAAGGCACGATGCCACGCACTACTAATTAACATTTTCATCATATAATATTCATCTGATTTTATGGAAATATGAAATTATTTCATCGCTATAATAATTTCCAATAATAACCATTATTCTTAACCGTATCAACTCAGTATTCATATCTCCGAGGACCATCTCGGGTGGCGGCAGTATTTTCAAATCAAGTAGGTCGTTTTCCTTCTAGTCCATTACCGGCATCTCTGCTTGAAGCTCTTACAAAATCATTGCTTATTGCTTTGCGCCATTTCTTCTTTTACGGCACGACCCTTCGAGCTCGTTCTAAGGCGTTGTTTAGGGTTAGTTATTGCGCGATAGAGTAAACACAATCATTGTCTTCGCCACCCACGAAATGAATAATAGAGCCAAATTGTACCGACGCTTTTCCATAGAATAGATTTCTTTTTCAAGTTTTAATTGAAATGAATGGTTGTGAAAAAAATTGTATTCGAACATGAATACGTATGCTTTAAAAATCGACAAAAATCAAATTTAAAAGCTATATTTGTTCAACGAAATTGGTTATGAAAAATATTACATGAGATGATTATTAATCTATTTCAATCTATTGCTAGTTGCATTTTATTCAATTTTAATCCAAATTTTATCTCTGTGACACGAACTTAAAACTAGGTGTTAGTGACATGTGTAAATAATCAACTTAATTAATTACAACTTAACCCAACAGTACCCACCAATATCCAAATTAAATTTAGGAATTTTTGACCGACAATATTTGAAAGTAGAAGAAAAAAGATGTATAACTAGCTATTGCCGTAATTTATGCATCCTGGCTATCAGGAGATGAGGACCATGTTTGTAAATCTTTTTATTTTAATTTTTTAAGTATAACTCATTTAATTGTTTCTTAAGATAAAATGTATAGTCATTTTGAAATTAGATTCAACAGATGTTTTGTGGAATCTTTGTAAAATCCTACATCTAGGTGGGTAAAAAGGACTAACTGAACCTTCACCCTGGCGGTAAATAATTAAAACGGGAAAATAAAAATGTAAATTCCGGTAATAAAAGCAATTTCACAACAGATAAATTAAATGAATAGATATTCCAATTAATAGTTCTGCTGATGAATATTTCTAACAAAAACCGGATCAAGTTTATACACATTGTTATTTCTGTAAAAAATGTGCTCATGAATATTATTTTCAAGAAAATATTAACAAGAATTCATATTTTGTATTGGTTGCACATTGTAGCTATTATTTTGTAAAGTTCAAAAATAAAAACAAAACTTTGGATCTATTTGCCACTTGGCTGTCCCTTGTTACACCGCCTATTGGGTAAAAGAGACTAGGTGACAAATTTTTGAAAAATAGCAAGAAAAAACACAATTCTACAATGATGAATTAACTGAGAATTTTACTGAACATAGTTTGATGGTTGTTTGTTTTATATATGAGACGTTCAGTGCACACAGTGACTAACTCCGAAAGTCAGAAAGTGGAGAAAAGCGATAAAGTAATGTATATTGCTTTTAAAAATTCCTGTTATAATATAAATTGAAAAATATATTTTAGAACGTATAAATACATATATAGCTTACATGTAACGGTATATAAGATTTATAACTATTAATAGTGAGAAAATAATTTTCATTAAAGTTAAAGTTTTGATATGACTTGTGGAGTTAATCAAGTTTTCAACTTTTTTTAAACTTTAAACTTTTTTTTAAAATTCGGATCTTCATTGTAGTCACACTTAAATTGTATATCGTTGGGTTTGGACCTTTCTATTTTAAATTCAGCGCATTTTAAGCCAATTTTCTGGACACCCTGTGATGGTTACTTTTACTGAGACCCACAACACCCTACAGTTCTTTGTTCTTATTCGTAATTCATGAAATTGAAACCCGAAATCCAACCCAACCAGAACATATACACTACCGAATAAAGTTAATCAAAATGTCTTCTGAAATAAATGACTTATGGATTCAGTGGTCAAAAAAAATTTTCGTTTCACAGTGGCAATTTTTATTCTTTTGCAAAATTATTATAATCATAAAAAGTTATGATTATACCAAGTTCTTTCCCACTAATATCTCAGTTTTTTTCAAAAAGTGGAGTTAGTCAATGTGTGCACTGAGCGGCTCATATGTTATTCTCAAATGTTCTAATACTCAAATGTTTAATTCGAAATTAAAGTTTTCTCTTGCACTAAAAACTAATCAATTCTATTTTCGAACTTCGGTTGGTAGCTTTCAAACTCAGGTATAATTTCTGTAATTGTGTTGATTAAATTTATTTAATACATTATATTGTACTTCTAATTATAAGAAATTGATTGATGATTTGCCATCGATGCAGAATGACGTAAAACGTCGATAAACATAAAATTAGCAAATCAGATTTTCTAATCAAAAACTAATTTTTATACGGTAAAATGACTGTTATTGAAGTTTTACAATTTTTCAAAAAAAAATTGTCTGTTCATAAATCTTATAGCTTCATACCAAAATATTAGTGTGTTTAGTTCGTCATATTATTAAAGTTTTAATAAATACAATGTAACTCAATTCTGTAGGTGGTAAATCATTCTAATATTATTTTGTATGAAAATTCAATAAGAATAAAGAACAATTTCGATTTAAATTATTAATCCTACTTTACCAAATAGCAAAGTATTTTCTGAAATTGATACGATGGCTGGCATGGTTGATCTAAATAAAAATGCGTTGATACTGAGTTGCCAATAAATATCAGAATTCTTTTTAACACAGGAATAAATAGAATCGATTCTTTTTATACAAATATCATCCCTTGTATTGACAAACATTACATCTCAAATTGTTCCTTATGGTCGATGGTAGTAAATTTAATCTTTATGTTTTATTCGTATTTTCAGGCGAGGTATCATGTGCGGCTGGGATGTTCCGCTGCCCGGAAGGCAAATGTATCCCGTCGCTGTGGGTTTGCAACTACCAGAAGGATTGTGAAAAGGGCGAGGACGAATTCCAATCATGCCGTGAGTATTTTATAAATAATATTGTAAATATTTCATGAATATGTGCTTTTTATAGTTTATATAATCTATGCTTTTGTCTTTCTTTTTGTTTGATGTCTTGAACTTTGTTTCATGTATTTGTTTGATGTCTTTGATTTTTCTAACCTTTCTGTCCAAACTTTAGTCTTTTTACACTATCTCTTGTTTTCTATGTTTTCTCTACCTTTAAATCATCAAACATTTATATTTCACTCTTCAAATTATTTTTAAATCTTTATTCGCTGTAAATTTGATATATATACAGGGTGTACCAGAACGCAACGTCAAGCCAAAACGGGGTGATAATATATTGACCATAACGTCAAGACTATCATCGTTAAGTGCAAGCTATAGCTTTGGTGAAATTGTGACTATTTTTTGGTTATTGTAATTATTTTTTTATTATTAGTGGTTCTTAAAACTTAGGAAGCGTAATCGAGAATAACATTTCTAGGATCACAGTCAAAATTAATGACACAATTGCCCCAAGTTTTCAAGAATTAAGATTTTTGTTGGGCTAGGAATTAAAATTCTTTAAAATCGGTTTATTTTGAGAGGCACCCTTTTAAAAAAAGTTTGGAAGTTTTGTCAAATGTTGGCATTTTATCAGTATTCAAAATTGTAAAATACATAATAATTTTATAATAGAAAAAAAACAGTAAAAAAATAAAAACAGAACTAGTGGGGCGCATAGCATCGTGCCTTAACACAAATTGCTGGAACTTCTCGTACCAACAATTATTTTTTTAAAAAGATTAACATTTTTGAAAAAAATTTATTATGAAAAAATTACATTTTTGAAAAACTATACATTTTTGATAAAAACTTATTTTTTTTAAAAAATGTTTTCTTTATTTTGAAATATTTTGAAAATTCTGAACTTTTTTTCAAAGCAATCGTACTGCTTTAACTACATGAGGATGAAATATCGAAGCGCGTAAGCGCCGCCTCGCTGTTTAATGGACAAATGACGTTTAATGGACAAATGACGGAACGGAACCTATAGAAATGTAAAGAAAACTGATACGCATTATTAAAATATTTGATAATTTGATGTGCATATGTCTAATGATCATTTTTGAGCGCCAAATGGCATTTTTTACTTTTTTCACTAGATCTCCGAAACCACTAAACTTGCCTTCATGAAAATTTGATCAATTCTGCGTCTTATCAATACAAGTAAAATGTTATTTAAATTATTAAAATCGGACGCTCTGTTCTCTTAAAAATTGAGTTACCGTTTGTGGCACTTTTGGCCCGTATCTTCAAACGGCTAGACCTGCTTATGTCAAAAACTAATCGGCACGTCTCCTTATCAACAGCAATTGAATGTTTTTTAAATAATCGCAATCGGTTGAACCGTGTTACCGAAATCGTCGACGATTTCGATACATCCATTTTTTCAAAGGTATGCAAATTGTTCAGAAACCTTTAAAACGTGAAGATATATCAAAATTTTCATTTTCGATTATTTTGCGATTACTATAACTTACTCTACGGGAAGTTTTCACAATACTATTTTCGAAAAAAACGAAAGCTTTTGAAATTATATAAAGTTTTTATGCATATTTTTATTATTGAAATTGTTAAAAAAAATTAAGGAAAGCCCAACAATTTTTGGTTGGAAACCACTTCTTTGAATTCTGGAACACCTTGTATATGTGATAATGATAATGACAAAATTGATAATGATAATGACGATTGGCTAAACACATTTTTTGCAAAAATGAAACGACTGGCTCCATTTAAGATAACAATGTCCACTAGATTGCTTCCCAAAGCAATTTCAAGGATTAAATTAACCCCAAGCTAATATTTATAAGGGTATTACGTATATGGCATATATGTACCTATAAATTACTTTCTATGTATTATAGAGATGGTGTATTCTGTTTAAAATTCTTGTTTGTATCTGAAATTTTGACAGCACTTTATCGACATGATTATATATCGTGTGTAATCTTGCATTGGATATACATCATAGTGAATATGATCGATAGGTACTCCGGGGATGCAAAATTGCTTTTCACTAGAAAACGAATACTTGCTTATTTTAAATGTTGAAATATATTTACATTGTAAATCATAGCCAAGCGTGTGAATATGAAAAATTTACATTACTCTTAAGTTATTTCGCATACTTTCACAATAAATTTTAGGTGATTTCATATGTAAACGTACTGGGGCACTAAATTGAATAAAATGCTGTTGATCTATAGGTATAATAAAATTTTACAACTCAATTTTGAATCATAAATTTAATTTAAAGCAAGGACTAAGTAATTATTTTATCATTATGTTTTTCAATTAAATTGTGATTCAAGTATCCAATTTTCTTTGTCGCTCGCTAAGCTATCTTTCATTACTTGGAAACTAATTTTCAAAAATTTATGACATGTAATTATTAACTTTCCGTAGGGTAAGTTATAGTAACCGCAAAAAATCGAAAATGAAAATTTTTGTATATCTTTGCGTTTCAAAGGTTTCTGAACATTTTGGCATACCTTATTATTAGAAAAAATGGATGATAGGCACACGGATCAACCGATTTGATGATTCAAATTACATTCGATTTCTATTGATCGGAAGACATGTTGATTAGATTTGGCAGGTTCAGCTGTTTGGAAAATACGAAGCAAAAAGTGTTTAAAACGGTAATTCAGTTTTTGAGAGAACGAAGCGCCCGATTTGAATGATTCAAAAAACATTTTACTTGTATTGACGAAATGAACGGTTTCGGAGATACAGAGTAAATACGGGATAAACATAGTTTTACTCTTTAAATAAAAATTTAAAATTCACAATTCAGTTTAGAAATGTATATATTTCATTTGCGTTATTGTAATTATAAGAAATATATCCTCAGATGGATTCATTCGACATGTCTTCTTATTGTAAACATTTTTAAGTGTTTCGTGCTATAAGATCGTCACTGCATATTATATGAACAAATAAATATATCTAGTAATTATAATTATGTCTTCAAGAATATTTAAAATAATTGTTATTAATCATTGATCAATATTTATTGATTTATTATTATTTTTTGCTCGAATATTTAATTCTGGTACGGGAAGTTCCAGTACTTTGCCCTAAGGCACGATTCCATGCACCACTAGCTTCTATATTCATTAAATAACGCAATACTTTTATAGTGAAAACATAAGAAAATAAGCCTGAGATAGATGATCCTTGTTTTAACACCAAATATTTACATTTTGAATATAATCTTGAAATTCGCGAGTATGAAATTATACTTCGCATTTGTATTTGAATTGTAGTTCTACAATGGCAAGCTCTATATAATAGCATTGATTTCAGGATATCATAGAGAAAATAAGATAAGAGTATTTTTTCTATGAGTACATAATCGGATCATAGAAAAATGATCTGAAAATCCTGTATTACCAGCATTTCACAATGGTCATTCCGCAAACCTTGCGGTTGAACCGCCGCACCATGTTATTTTCAAACCTATAAGCGGGCTTTTGCTTATTCGATACTTGGCTCTTCGGAAACCGTTTATATTTAAATGGATACATTTCTCCATATTCAATGTATGAACGCACCTAACTTTGATTAAAAGAATGGGAGCACGTCGAAAATAATTTAGGCATTTATGTGAATCCAATTATGTTCATTTAAAGACATTTAGACAAATAGACAAACAATTTTGTCTAAATATCATATTTGCATAATATTGCTGAATTGTCTGCTTTTTTGTGATATATTATATCATTAACTTTGCGTCTAGATTCAACTAAGTGTGACATGTTTCCTTAAAGCTTTTTACATAAACTGCCCAACATGACTTAATCAATAAGAAATGGAATTATGACGTATTTTGATATGGTTCATTGATGAATATTTAAAATTAAACTATTTGTCGTAGGCCCCGATGTACATCTTCAAATAGTTTTTTAAATGTCAAAATTTTTCAGAAAACGTAAATGCGCTTTTAAAAGCGCTGCTCATTTCTCAAACTTTGACGATTTTTTTCAAACTAAACCACTTTCCGTTAGACCGTAATATTTTAATATATTCTTCAAGATCGCGATCTCTATTATAATAAAAGCTCTATCAAGCTCTATCTCTTTCCACTCGTACATTGCAAATGTAATACGTATTATGTCGACGAAGCGGCGGCATCAAATGAAAAGGTTTTTTTTATACGAGTATATTATTATTGACTTTGTAGACAAGTGCATTAGCTATTTTCAATTACAATTATCATGCAATATTTAAAATTTTATATTACTAGATTTAATGAAATAATACAGGGCCTTCCATATGTTCTTATAACTACCAACAATAGTGTAAAATTAGTTGGAAGAGAGATTTCCAGTCTTATTATCTCCTTTCATAATTCCAGTAATTTCTTTTCCCATAAAAAAGAAAAAAAGGCTGCGCTCTTGAAACATACAAACACGTTTGTTTCAAACAAGTCAATTAAAATTTTCATGTCAAATTTTATTTTCGAAATAAAAAATTCATTGTTTTATCTAAATACCTAAATCTCAATCTTTATTTGAAGTCGATGCGCCTTAAGACAAACTTCTATTTACATCATTTATTATTGACATTAATGAATTTGTTAAATTTAAAATACTCTAATTTGGAATAGCAACAATTCTGCTAAATAAGAAATTCTACACATTACATTTCAGGAAACTGGTATTCTCGTTTTCAGTATTTTCCTTTCATGTTATCAAATATTTCAAATCTGAAATTAAATCAAAACATTCTTCTAACACTCCATTTAAATATTGTAATTAATAATCAGTACTACTGTATTAATTCTTAAGAATGTTTATTTTCAAATGTGAATTGTGTTCATTAACAATAGTTTGAAATACAAACTACAATATTTCAAATAAAATTAAATAATTGCTATGTTTTTATGTGCCTTTTGTTAATAAATTTTTGTAATAACTTTTTTACTGTCTGAAGGAGAATTTTGCAGAATTTTATTAAAACATTTA